TCGTATCTCTTATACTTATAAATTGAAAGCACGAATTAAGAATGTCTCTTTCCTTTTTTTTTTCCATTTCTTCTAAAAGTATTTCGAATTTACCTTTGGATAAAGGGTACAATATACTATAAATTGAAAACACAAATTAAGAATATCTCTTTCCTTTGTTTTCCATTTCTTCTAAAAGTATTTCGAATTTACCTTTGGATAAAGGGTACAATATACTATAAATTGAAAACACAAATTAAGAATATCTCTTTCCTTTGTTTTCCATTTCTTCTTCACGATTAATTCGATTATTAAAAGTATTTCGAATTTACTATCTCATCTTTGGATAAAAGGTACAATATATTATAAATTGAAAGCATGAATTAAGAATGTCTCTTTTCTTTGTTTTTCTCCTTCACAATTAATAAAAGTATTTCGAATTTATTGTCTCATTTTTGGATAAAAAGTATAATATACTATAAATTGAAAACACGAATTAAAAATGTCTCTTTCCTTTTTTTTCCATTTGCCATATTTCTTCTTCACGATTAATTCGATTATTAAAAGTATTTCGAATTTGCTCTCTCACTTTTGAATAAAAGTTACAATCTAGATCGAAGAGAACGATAAATATACTTTTTTTCTTCTCTCTCGACACGTATCCCTTCTTTGCGATAAAAAAATCAGAATTTTTACGGGAGCAACGATCGGCGTATCAGATCGATTCTTCTTTCTTTTTTTTTTTTTTTTCATCAACAGTCCTTTCACACGGCGAACGCGTTTGGACTTTCATTTCGTCGACCCGAAAACTTTGATCCGCTTTGAGTCTCTTTATGCCGGTACACCTTCACTTCCGGTATATATATGATAGATTCGCAGAACGGAAACGACCATGACTGATCGCACATCGAAGAAATCGAAGAAATCGAAGAAATCGAAGAAATCGAATCGGCCTTCATCAGACTCTCGAGCGCATCTCGATCAACCTTGCCAGCCACGCTAGATTCCAACCACGCGTGGAACGACGTGTGATAATTTGTGCTCGGCGAGGTTCATCGATTCGATCCTTTCAAACCGTTTCTAAATACGGCCATCTCGTTCCTTTCGAATTCCTCGTCCTCGAATCCAGATGGAAATATCCCTGAAGATTTTTGTTCGCCGCATTCGTTTCCGGTAAATTTGCGGTTGCATCCGAAGTCACGTTTGATCTTCCGCTTTACCGACCATTGCACCCACCGCAAGTCGTCGAAAAAGATTCTTCCACGCGGCGTGCTTCGTTTTCTGATTTCCAATTCCGATTATTATTTAAATCGTACGACGATAGATTTTAGATCGTTTTTAGATTTGTTCCTTTTTTTTTAAATTAATCTTACCAAGAAACGATAACTTATCGAGATCAAGATTTTCTGAATCAGACTCGTTCACAAGCATAATCTCTTCTAATTGTAACACCAAGTTAAATTATTATTATATTCTCATTAAGAAAAGAGAAAATTTTAAAAATGTCGCATCGAATGTCGAGGTTTATAATAATTTCTTCCGTCGAAACGATCCGATTGCGATAGATTCGAATGTGATCTATCGAAAAGAAAGTATTACCCGAGCGAGATAACTTACACTTCCCACTTACGCCCATAAATACACGTAATTTCGTCTTCCGGTTAGACGGAGAGCGGTCAATGGAAAATGAAACTTTTCCCATATTCATAGTACGTACGAGGTGTAGTATAGTTGGATCGATGGTTGGCCGATAGGTAACACCCGATATATCCTGGAAAGGGTCGGGGCTCTAGCGTGCGGAATCGAGTGAAAGGTGGTGGAATCGATGTTACTATATAAGCTCGGGATATTCTATTCCGGAGTAGACACTCAACGTTTTGTGCTTAAACAATATACACCCTTCCTTGGAAGCGACCAACAACTATGAATCATATCGTAAGATCAATGTGACGACTGTTATTAAATCCGAATGAACGATGCTCTTCGTTCTAATCGACACAATGAAGATTAAGAGTTCGTTTACGCTTTGAATGAATTGAGAGATTAAAAAAAAGAAAAAAAAAGAAAAAGAAAAAAGGTAGAGAATTATCCGAATGTGCGAATGTTCGCAGATAATCGCCTTCTTTGGTCTCGCCCTGGCCTCTGGAATCGTTTCCGCGGGATACGTTGACGAGGATCATGGAAGCTCCACGTACGAGGAGAAAACTAAACCAGTGGAAATTCCTATATACAAGAAATATGGTAAATAAGGGGAAGGGGGAAAGATATTGATATTTAAAAAGAGTTAAATAATTACATTCGTGATGCGATATTACAGCGATCCCGATTCCTCATCCCGTGCCAGTCGAGATCCCGCAGAAGATCGAAATTCCTATTCCCCAACCTCAAAAGGTCCCCGTCGAAATTCCACACCCTTTTCCAGTCGAAGTCGTGAAGCACGTCGAGGTGCCGATCGAGAAGCCGGAACCTGTTATCGTGGAGAAGCACGTGAGTAAGAAAGAAACGTGGAATTATCCAAGAAAGAACGTGGGATAAAATGTGTCGCTTGAGAGAAAGAGAGAGAGAGAGAGAGAAAGAGGAAAAAAAGGAAAAAAAAAATTAATAACTAAATCGTAGTATCGTTGTAACGTGTAATTTCGTCGGTTTCCCAGGTACCTTTTGTGGTGGAGAAGCCGTATCCAGTTTACGTCGAAAAGAAATTTCCCATTCCGGTCGCCAAGCCGTATCCAGTTCACGTGCCAGTTTATAAGCACGTATTCCATTACACTTCAAAGGGCAAAGGATGGCACTAAGGTGATCCTCCTATTACCCGCCCGGGGATTGTTTCTTCCACGGAGTGATCGTTTTACAAGAGAGTTTCTTTCCACCTGAAATCCAAACTTGCTTAATTCAACGAAAATCCATTCGTCGTCTCGATCGTTTTTTTTTTTTCCCTTTTGCGAACAGAGAATCTCAAAAGATCGAAAAAAGGAAAGAAAAAAACGAAGATATTATTTATAAGTATTTACCGATACTTTTGTTACTACTTTTATACACTTGTTAAGTTTTTTCCCCCTCTTTTTGTTTCTTTACCAAATAACATGTACACTTGTTAATAAATTAAAAAAAAAAAAAGAAAGAAAGAAAGAAAGAGAAACACTTTGTTACACTTTGTTCCTTGATTGAATCGAATAATCGAACCAGTTTTTTGCTGAAAAGAGCAGCGACGGATGAAATGAGTTTACCGGAAGAGCGATACCGCTCTCTTCCTGTTGTTCGAGACGCAAGAAGGAAACGCGTAAGATTCGTTTCTTCTCGTCATCCGGTGTTACGAATCTACTAGAAACGCTCTTAGGAATCCTGCGCGATCTTGATTCGTCCATAATGAGCCCGACAACAGACGCGTTCCTATACTCGCGCCGTGTGGCAAAACCACTTTTACTCCGAGATATACTTTCACTGTTCCGCTAGCCGATACCGAGAGTATCGTGTACAATTCTAATCTTTCAAAACGACCTCTCTCTCTCCCGTGACCACACCT